GTTTTTTTTTTTTTTTTTTTTTTCTTTCGCTTTTTTTTATTAGAAAATACCCTATAAATTTTATTTTTGACCCCCTAACCAAAGTCGTCTGGGTCCGCCTCTGATCATTATTTTCTTCCAGAAGGCATAGACAATAAGAAGAGTTCATTAAGTTACATTTAGGACCCCGAGAATGACTCTGATGAAATTTATAAATCAAATTCCTAGCTTCGCTTCTTTCTATTGATGTTAACCCTGTATTTGTGGTTGTATGCATGGTATTTTCCATAGGCGGATTAAAATTTCATCTCCATAGGCTAACCTTATTTTTCTTTAATTTCAACTGTGATATACGCGTCTTTTCACGTTACTACTGCAATGAGTCAAATAACCCTTCTTCAAACTCAGATTCGTTTGTCTATATTGTATGTAATAGTTGCTTGCTATGTTTACTCGAGCAGGTGGATGAATACAGTCTAAGGACTCATCTGTTACAGTTGAAACAAGCTCAGAGAAATGGCGTGCCGCCAATGCTCGGGAACCATACATGACTCTTAACAACTCTACCTCTGCCTGCCTGGGGAGGATGACAAAAGACACTGCCTCAATGTCGGGTTTTAGCAAGTGTATATTGAGAATTCTCTCTCACCTTTTTTGTTTTGTGTTTTTATTTTTTTACTTTAGATAGAATTTCTAAGTTATTCATTTTCTTGTTTTTCTTTTCATTGACTGGCCCTGGCTGCTTCTATATCATGTCTAAATGTATCTATGTTTTGTATATTTAATTAATAGAAAATGATGTTATGAATCATTGGTGTTCAAATTGGAAATAATTGCTGAATACTCATGGAGAGCCTACATTAAAATCAAAATTTTAATAGATTTTGATAAAATTTAATGGAATGTGATTGAAAAATTGTCGGTATTATAAAAAGTGTGATCAAAATTAATTGTTTAGATTTTAATCTAAATTTTTAGTGGTACCAAGCATTCGCTAAATAATATTGAACCTAATAGAAAGAGGTTTACGTGTTTTTTAATAGGGTGTAATATATATATATATATATAATTGTTAAAAGAGGAATTATAATATCCTTGTTAATCTTGGAAATTTTCTTATTTATCCTTGAATTAACATGGTAGGTACCACTCTTTTCATAAATTGAGCCTTTGTTTGAGTTTCATTTTTCCATCAAAATATATTTTTGAATAAAATAATATAACAAGCAAATCTAAAAATTTTCAGTATGTTTTAATCAAACATTCTCTATCATAACACTTTCAAAATGCATTTTTTTTTTTTTTTATAAAAATGGGGCTCAAACTACCTTTGAGACTCGTCGTGATAAAGCAATATACTGTGTATTTTTATTACAATTAATAAATTAAAATGGATATTTATTGTTTGTATTAGAGTAGCATATCGATAATCGGATATTAGAAATAATTTATCATATCATCAAATTATTATTTTTTTCTTAAAAAAAAAAAAAATCACTTTTCACAAGATCTTCCAAAAAAATCAACTTCATGCAAGGACCAAATACCTCTCTCTTTAAAGTTAAGATGATAAAGAAAAACTTAAATATTGAATCCAATATAAACTTTACATAACAAAATATAGTAGAAGCTATTTCAATTTGCTTTTTGAGACAGAAATTTCATTAAATCAATTTCTCACAAACACGAGAGAGAAATAATAGAATACAAGATATCAAACAGACAAATACTCCTATCTAAAGTAACATGAGAAGCTAGTGTGTGGGCCACCCGATTCTCGTCTGAAAATGAAGTGACATGATCTAAACTGTACTTCTCAACGCAATATTACAATATCAAATAACAAGACTCTGCATTAGGTGCCATGTTGACGTTAGGATTGAGGCATTTAGTTTGACTTCTCCTAAGTTCAGAGGTGATCTGTGAAGCTGTTGGTAGGAGTTCTTAATGTTATGCTGTTTCATCCCCTTGAAAAATCTTGACACAATTTTCAACAATATTCTGTGAGCTCGAAAGAGATCTTTCCTCTCACTCATTCTGATGCACCAAACCGAATTTCACATTGTACAAGCCCTTCTGATCATAGTGCCAAATAAGCTTTTCTCAACTTCCTCGCAAGCCAAGCAGTATAGACATTATTAGTTTATGGTCAACCGAGTTAAAAAAGTGTTCGATATGTTATACACATCCCCTGCTCCAGTCGTTGAGAATAATTGAACACTTCTAGTTTGCAATGAGCGTGGCTCAAAACTCAAAAGAATCAGTCTAGGGAGCATGGGCTCTCGTATATTTTGTTAGTGTTCTCTTATGTTTTTACACAATTCAAAATTTGTCAGTGTTGATGCTAACAATTTTTGAAATTTTGAAAATTTGAAATTTCATGTTCATTTTTACGATTTCTAATCATCTTGGTAACACATTACTTATTCGTGACAAATAGATAGACCCCTCCTTTTGAATTGCAAATTTTACCGTATCAAAACAACCGGGCTAGAAAAACCTAGGAGATTATTCCCATAATAAAAGGGCAAATGGTAATCAAATAGAAAATTGAAGAAATTATTCCAATAATAACCCCACCAAAAATTTTAAATTTGCAATCACACTCCTCTAGAAAGGATTTTCTCTCCTGTCGTCTTAGATCAGTTGAACTTGACCATATACTCTCTTTGTCACCTCCTCTCCTCTTTCTCGTAGTTGAGAGAGGGAAATTCACTCCTCTCTTTATAAAAAAATCTATCCTTCTGTTCTCTATTTCTATCAATTTATCCGTTATTACACATAATGGGGAAATAAATCTCTCTCTCTTTCTCCCCTATATATATAGTCAAGGATGGAGCCAGGATTTATGTTTAGTGCAGGCATCATTTTTCGACGCCGAACTTCGAGGTTTTGGTCATAGATTTAATGATGATAAAAAATAAAACAATATTAGAACAATACTAAAAAGGACATAATTTATATATTAAACTTGTTTCTTGCGAGTTTTCATATTTTGATATCGTCGTACAATAACTTCATTATCGAGCTTCAAAAATATATATTTCTCTACATAAACAGTTATGCTATCATTCATCCACTGATCACCCATTCGATTGCGTAATCTATCATTTACGATACTCATTGCAGAAAAGACTCTCTTCACAGTAGCAATAGCAACTAGTAAAATTAATGTTAAAGTCAAAAGTCTGTAAACCAATGGATATACCCTATCTTTCTTTGTCAGAACTAACTTCTCTGCAAGATCAACAAGGTCATTCAACCCTTCAAACTCGTTGTTAGAATGCGTGTAAAAAATATAAGTCTCAAGTTGATTGTTATGTACAATGACATCTACTACAGAAAAATCTAATGGATAAAACTCAACAACTCTAATCAAGTTTTTATTGTCAAAAGAAGAAATTGAATCTTGTGGACATAAACAAGCTACACAAAGGAGTAACTCTGTATTTACTTTCGAGAAACGATCATTCAATTCTTGAAGTTGTAAATTGATGACAGAATAGAACAAATATACTCGGTAATGATGTAAATTTGTAATTTCTGGAGAATTACGGTGAGGGCGACCACGAAGTGCAAGGCGTACAAACATATCATCCATGTTGGGTATATGAATTAATGTTGTTGACAAAAAGAACATTCCTCTTCCAAAAAGGAGTCCCACCCTTCATCTCTTATTATTTGGAGTCGTCGTTGGACAATCTCACAAATTGCATTGCATTCACAATATCTTGATCTTTTCTTTGCAATGCCTTTGACAGTTCATTTGACATTCCCAAGACATTTCTCATCAACTGTAGATTAAATGCAAAATCAAATTTTTGTATCAATTCCAATAAATTTGTTGCATCAGATCTTTGATCACAAGAACAAGATTCATCTTCAACAATTATTGCAAGTACATCTAAAACAGAAGAGAAAATGGCAAGCAAGCTGATCAAAGAATTATAATGTGAACTCCATCGTGTATCACCAGAGCGCTGAAGGATCGTTTCTTGATTAAGTCCTCGTCCACTTAAAATCTCACATTTTTCAATGCCTCAACAATAAAGTCTAATTGTTTTTCTCGAAGAAGATTACAACGTTTGGAAGATGCTCCAACAGTATTTATCACGCCTCCAACCACACGAAAGAAGTTAGTAATAGAGAAGTTCTTCTTTGCCACAGCCACAAGCGCAAGTTGGAGTTGATGAGCAAAACAATGAATGTAAAAGGCACATGGACCTTCCTTCAAAATTAGTGTTTTCAGACCATTAAACTTACCTTGCATATTACTTGCTCAATCATAACCTTGTCCTCTCAATCCAGACATGCTCAAGTTATATCTAGAAAATACCTTATCAATTGTAGCCTTAAGTGATAGAGCCGTGGTACTTGTAACATGTTCAATCCCTATGAAATGTTCATTGACATGCCCACTATTGTCTAAATAACGTAAAATAATAGACATTTGCTCCTTCATTGACATATCACAAGATTCATCAACTAGAATAGAAAATAGTGAGTCGCCAACATCTTTGATGATAACATTGATCGTTTCAATAGCACAAACATTTACTATATCCTTTTGAACATCAGGTGATGTCAATTTGCAATTGTGAGGAACATTTGTCAATGTGACGGCATTAATAACTTCATTATGAGCAGCCAAAAATTGCAATTGCACTAAGAAGTTACCTGGATTGAGAGAATCCTCAGATTCATCATGACCTCGTAATGAGTGCCCTTGTCGTAAAAGAAGTCGAACACAATCAATGGATGCATTAAGACGTGTAACATATACATCTTGCTTGTTCTGAATGTTTATAGAAAACTGATTGAATGTGCTGCTCTTGATTCATTAACACTTCATATTTAATACGAGTTTGATTATGTGCACTATCATGAAATCCAACATGAGTATGAAGCCTTTTTTTATCTTTCCAATATGTAAAACCTTCGCCAACAAAAGACTCACCTCCACCTCGCTTTCCAGAACTTGTTCTAAAAAGATAACAATACAAACAATAAGCAGCATCATTCTCTATACTTTACTCCAACCAACTACTGAACTCTTTAAACCACGAAGGATTGAATCGTCTAATTGTTACTTCAAATTGTCGTTTTGGAAAGTCATGATCTTGGGGCTGATAAGGACCCTTTAACATATATGCTTTTCGAACTTCATCTCGGATGTTAGCATTGTAATCCAAAATGAGTATCCTTAGACCAGGATCAGTTGGAAGTTTTTTGATATCAAATTCCACATTATTTGATATCCCCTCATCAATATTATCTACGTTCCTTTTTCGTTGAAAGTATCTATTCATTTGATTAAACATTTGATATCCAATTATTATTGGGAGCGAGTGAGAATAATTCATAATGACAAAAGAATCATAAATTCACAATTTCACAATCTCAATTCGCAGTGCAATTCACATTTCACAATTTCACATTATCAATCTAATTTCACAATATCAATTCACCTTCCAATTCGCAATTTCACAATGCAATTTATACTATTTTACAATCCAATTCACAATTTCACATTATCAATCCAATTTCACAATATCAATTTACCTTCCAAATCGCAATTTCACAATGCAATTTATACTATTTCATAATCTAATTCACAATTTCGCACTATCAATCCAATTTCACAATATCAATTCACCTTCCAAATCGCAAATTCACAATGCAATTTATACTATTTCACAATCTAATTCACAATTCACAATTTCACACTATCAATCTAATTTCACAATATCAGTTCACCTTCCAATTCACAATTTCACAATGCGAGGGGCACCAAGTTTTCCTTGTGTGAGAATCTGCACTGTAGAACCTTCACATGGGTGCAAATAGAAGCTACATCTGTAGAAAATGAAATATGATAATGCAGTTAGAAGATGATAATTACAAGTGCTTTATTTGGTCTGCTTGTTGAAGAACTACTTTTGTTTTCCATCACGCAAAAATACAAATCAGAACAAAGGGCTAGAAATGTTGGATATCAAACTAATTCAAATTCCAAAGGAATAGTAAACAGAGAGAAATAGGGAATTGGAAATAACAAAAAATGCACAAATTAACTCAAATTGAAATCAAAGTCAGTAAGTCACCTTCTTCATTCAATTGTTCTTCTGGGCTACAGGCCTACCGCCTACGGCTTCTTTTCTTCAGTTCTTCTTTTTTAGTTGGCCTGGCAAGTGGCAGGCCATAGGCGACAGCTAGGGGGAGGCGATGGCAGTTTGGACTTGCGGACCGGTGGGGGAGGATTAGGGTTTTGACTTTGGGGTTGGGGATACCGGATACACTTACTAGGTCGAAGATTAGAGCCCGACCGTCGGTGGACTGGAAGTAGAAGCAGCTGGTGACTGTGAGTCGAAGTTTCGAGAGAAGCAGGCGCGAATCAAGAGATGGGGAGAGACGCGATTCAAGGGTTTGGTTTTGATTTCAATGAAAACGGGTTAATTGAATGATTTGAATCAACATTCCGGGTCTGAGTCGGTAAACGGGTTATGGGCTGTGGGCAATTGGGCTTCCATCTGGGTTGGAGATTTAACCAGGCTTTAAAAAAAATTTAATTAATTTTTGGGCCTACTGGAGCCCAAAAGTTCAGTGAGGGCACCTAATGGGACTCCGCCCCTGTATATAATTATATGTAGATTATTTGTTCGTTGTTGTATAAGAGATTGATTGGACGGTGTAAGATATTTTTTCGATTTCCGAGGTATGTTGACTAATAAAATGGTGCTGAGCTTGAGACCTGAAGGAGGTTCCTGCGGCGGAAGCAGAGTTTTTGGTTCACTTTTCGAAGTGACGGCGACCAATTTTGATCTCCTGATATTGCGTCCACATGGCAGTGCCGATTCTCCTTCCTTAAAGGTTGAATGTTTTATTTGTTGTTTTGGGTATTTATTTTAGTAGTATAACGATTGTATATGTTGTAAATGAACAAAATTTCAACCCGCATGAGCGTAGTCGAAACACTATTATTGTAAGCAAAAGTTCCAACCTACAGGAGCGTAATTATAACACAATGTAATGACACAAAGTATATGACTAAAACGATCACACAAAATCAAAAATGAAATAAGGAGTAGAAAAAGAAAATTGAGGCGAGTATAACTCTTTCCTTAAAACAAATTGTCTTGTTACAGTGCTCACGGTTGAATGGTAAATGTCTTCCAAGACACAACTGATACACACTTGTGGTAGCAGCACTTCAACTACAAGAACGATGAAATTTCGATGGAATTTTCCCTCTACAAAGGAATATTGTGAGAATGAGAGAAAGATGAATTGTAAGAGAAGAATGGATGCCCAATGCAATGATGTGTTTAAAACCACGTCCATCGGATCCTATTTATAGATGTAGAAAGGGTGAAAATGAAGTAGTGTGGACCAAAATCTGCATGTTTTCAAAAAGTTGCAACACTTTATTTCAAAATCTGTATCATTTCGAAAAGTTGTAACACTTCATTTCTTCCAACTTTGGATTGTAATTTCTCATTCATCCGAAATTGGTTTTGAGATTCCAAATATACCACGACGATCTATTCGAAGAGTAGAATAAATTGGTCTATTTACTTTTATAATTTGACCATCAGATTAATTCCGAATATTTGGTCAAATTTAAAACGAAGTCACACCTTTTGATTTTTCCAGTTTTACACTTAACCAATTTTCGATTATTTTTGAACCAATTCCAACATTATTCTGTTTTGTCTAATATAGGGTTTTTGATCAATTATGAATGGTTTTGAACAAAGTTTGATTTAATTTTTTGGATTTCCAGAGTTGTTTTGTATAGCTATTATTTTATGAATTTTTTGTTTTTTTTTTTTGGTTTATTTCTCTCCCTTTTAACTGAATTTTGTGTCTATTATTCTATTGAATTAACATATCTAGATCATTTCTTTGTTGTGGTGCTCCATTGAAGATACATGAATCGATGCATATCTACATGTTTACAATGTCATAATGTTTATGATTTTTATTTTAACTAAATTTCCTCAGCTCATCCTCATGACCATATATGGTAATTGCAACAATCATATTACTGCAGATGTGTATTCTACTAGTAAAATTTGATTTTGAGGATGTTCCTTAGCTCATCCTCATGACCATATATGGTAATTGTAACAATCATATTACTGCAGATGTATATTCTACTAGTAAAATTTGATTTAGAGCCAACATCATCAATGTCATTCTTGTTCATGAAAGTTTTAGTTGTATTATACAATGGGTATCAAATTGATTTGGTATGGTGTAACCATGTAGAGCTTTTGGAAGAATGGATGACATCTCTTTGTCACGCTCGAAAAGCCTTGGAGTTCTTGGAGAACAGGAATGCACTATACATCCTATACATGGATTGCATAATCGGAGATTTGAGCAGACAATTGGGTCACGTTTCCTTCCTCCAGAAACTAAAATTAGATATAATTGCTAAATTGTCTCGCATCTTCTACAATGTAAGTTGACACATCTCGAGTACCTTTCAATATATGATGCATTGTCGTATTTCTCGTTAGGATTCTTGCTACAATGCTACATCATAGATATAGTGTTGCAAATATGTCATACGTATACTGTAATAAACAAAACCATGTTATCAGGGCCAGCCCTAAGAATTGTGAGGCCCCAAGCAACCAATTATTATGAGGCCTCTGAGCATAATTTTTTACGAACGTAGTACTACTTTAAAAATGAATATGGAGGGTGTTAAAAATAATTTTTTTACAAATGGACCACTACTTAAAAATGGATACATAGGATGTTAGTTTGCTGAAAAAGTAAAGTACAGATGGAATTTTGAAAACTTCTCCATGAAAATTTACTCACCACAGTTAGTTTGTTAAAATTTTAACTTTGAGATTCTTAATCCAATTTTTTATCGCTGGAATGTAAACCATTGGTCTTTTTATCATTCACCAAAAAGGTCACCCAGTAGAGTGAACGAATCTACAACTCTAAAAAGAGATGTCAAAGTATGAAAGATGTTTATGAAAATTAAACGTAAAAAACATGTTAAACATAAATTAAACCATTTATGAACTAGTTTGGGACTATGATCAAGTTTAAATTCTCAATTTTCAACTTATCACAAATCACAAATTCCCCAATTGCATATCCATGTTAATTCGAAACACAAAAAAGGAAAAAAAAATAAAGAAAGAAAGAAAAAAGAAGGTAGAAGAAGAAGAAAGACACACACACACAGGGCAAATACACAGAAATCAAAAGTTGCCAAATTTGCACAATTACAACCTACAAATACACAGATCTAGAGGTAGAATTAATAACCCTAAAAGCATGTAGATGCTCCAGTGTACATCCACACCACACAACACAAGAACGAAACAAAATTAATGAGGTTGTCATAACTCATTAGTAAAAACAAAATTAATGAGGTTGTAATAACCGGATGCCTAATTAATAACCCTAAAAGCATGTAGATGCTCCAGTGTACATCCACACCACACAACACAAGAACGAAACAAAATTAATGAGGTTGTAATAACCGGATGCCTGCAATCAGTTTGTTCAATTCTTAAGAGATATTAGCCTATATGGGCTATGAGTATTATTAATAAATCATGGGCCTATTTAAAAAAAAGTCCAAAAAAAAAATCTTTTTTAGGCCCAACAATGGCTTGTCTTCAACGTCTTTAGCCTCCAATTCTTGCTGCAACAATGGCGTTCAGTGACTGCCCTCCCTCTTCCAGCCGACTACACAACTAACTGCCTCTTGACTCTCTGCTTTCCTCTGTGAATATGATGTTCTAATTGCTAATCCCACTTCCACACGAGAACTCCAATACTCATCCAACCACCTCACCATCAAAATGAGCAAAATTAATTACCAGAAACAGAGGCTAGAAAAATGAAGGCCCCAAAAAATCAGAAGCCCTAGGCGGCTGCCTGGTTAGCCTTGGGTCAGGGCTGGCCATGCATGTTATTTACAGAACTCATGGTTTGTTATAGAAAAATTCCAATCTATCTCACTTTAAAGTAATACTACAAATTAGCAGTACAAAGTTACACATTTTTTTGGTATAAATGATTAATAATATTTCCTTGTCATGGTTACACTTTTATTGTTTGATATTGTAAATTACAGTTTTATTATATACACTTTTTATTTTAATCAATTTTATCCATTATATTATTGTTATTCTAATAGCACATATTACTACTCTTGATTAACATAAAATGGTGTAACTGCATTAGTTAATTCTACACAATCTAACTTACCAATTCAGAGAAATATGACATAAACATGATTAGTAGTTCATTTTAACATTACCTACTCAAATAAATTGTACCATATTCAAGCACATCATAGTTTTATATGTGTGGCTATATTCACACCACAACGATTTATAAATACATCATGTTTTAATTAAATTAAAGGTTCTTAATCTTTTTTCATTATTATAGTCATTTTTTACTTTTAATTTTATTTTTAAAATTTCATTAACTAGCAGATTTTGTCCATAATCATAGTTTTCGTTTAAAAATACTGTTGCGTGCTTCAAAATGTAAGATAAATATTTAGTCTTGATTTTGTATTTATTCTTTTTTGAGTTATTTAAGATACAAGGAATAAATGGGTCTTTTTACTTCATCTTAATGAAATTTTTGTACATAAATCTTTACAAGGGACTAGTTGTATTAATTTGAGAAGAAAAATGCAATGAAAAATTAAGGACATAAATTGATAATTTGTAGAAAGTATGATTCTTTTCGGTAATTCAAATATGTAATTATCAAGCCCCTGTTCGATTTAGTTGAAAATCAGTTTTTTTTTCTTAAATAAAAATCGATGAGATGTGATTAAAATTATTATTAATTTAGATTTAAATTTTTAACTTTTAAGCTAAATCAAACAGGAACTAAAAGTGTGGTCTGAATATATTTAGCCTCTTTCGTTTGATTGAAAATTAAGTTTTTAGTAAATTTTGATAAAAGTTGGTTAAACATGTTTAGAAAAGTTGATAAAAATTGTGGCTCTCATAAAATATGTGGCTAAAAATGAATCTGGGGATAAAAGTTGTGGGCCTGATAAAAATTAAGGACCTTCAATGTATTTAAAACGAGATTCGCCTGGCAGGATAGACCACAAAGTGGTTGCAAGATTTAGAAACTGCATATTTTCTCTGTCACAAGCACAAAGCAACAACTACTAGCAAACTGTCTCTCTTCTTTATTAGTAATTGCCAATTGTTACGAACATATAATGTGTATACAAAATGCTGGTATGAAATGAAACTAAGTATTCCTCTAATTCGAAAGATTTACAGAAAACTAGAGACTACAAGATGAGAAAAAAGCAAGTAAGAAGAGACTTTAGAAGTTCTTATTTTAATATGTCCCTTTACCGACACAAATGAAACGTTCAAAAGCTCAACGCTACACTGTCCTGCCATGAAAGTTTCCTCTTCCCCACAAGGGACGAACCTTCCCCGGCATTTCTGCACAGAGACAACTTTAAGTCGTTCTGATCATCTTCTACAGCTCTAATTAAACCCATTTTTGCTTCCTCAAACTTTGATGGTTTAAAATTAGTCTGGAAATCCTCATCCCCAGTCTGTTGGAAAAAAAAATGGTTAAAACTTTGCAGTTAATAACTTGACGAAGTCAATAGTTATTAGTTACATACCGAAATTTCGTTTAAGTCGAAGAATGGAGTTCGACTTGGCATGCAAGCTTCTTTCCTACTTAGATCACTGTCCTGGTTCAAATCAAAAGCGACGGTTGAGTTCCTGAGACCAACATTGTTAGCTCGGTATATTCTTTCCTTCTGGTTCAAATCAAAGGACGGGATCGCGCATTGCATTAAGGTTTCTTTCCCACATTTTATTCCTCCTCTGTTATTTTTATCAGAAACAAGAGTCGAAATAGGATGGCTAGCTTCGTTTCCACCATGTAATACTTGCTCACGTTTCAGATTATTAAACAGAGATGCACTGTGTCGAGAACTTTGTTTTCCAATACTAAGTTTCCCGTTGGATTTTGTGTCGGGGATAGAGGGTAACTTACGTACAGTAGTTCCCATTCTGCTGCAGAAAAGTTCCTCGTTCTTAGTTTGGTTAGCTAAATTTAGCGGTTGTTCAATTTGCTGTTCTTGTGATGAGTTCAAACTCTCTGTTTTCAGTAGCCATTTGTATCTTCGTCTTAAAAACCTGCAGATTACAAGGTGAGTTCAATTAATGCCAGCAGAACCAGTCCAACTGCATTTACCACACAGATTATTAGGATATGGAAATCTTCATAATAAGGCAAAAATTGCATACCAAACTTCGGCTGCCAGCATCAGCTTCCTCTGCTTAGCAGCATCCAATTTATTTCTGATAACATGAGCCTCCTGCAAATGGTATGATAATGAATTAGCCAGCCGAAATCTGATACAAATACAAGACCATCTGTTAGGCCTCTTCTGAAGAGACTCCAAATCATCACCCACGTGGCCGACCACTAAACAAAATCAACAAGACTCACACTCCACTCCACTTCCTACCTGGCCTAAGCGAGGCACCTGGGTAGCAGAGGTGATTGGACTGCTTCAGCTCCCTTGAGGCCGAGCCTCCATAGAAGAGGCAAAGTGCCACACGCTGCATGGAAAATATGTAAGGCTTCTAGTTTCCATATTAATGGAAAACATCTTCTATTCCACATCTTCTCAGGAGATCTTCCATACAGAACTGACAACGGCTCCATGATGTGACAACTCAATGCCGGATACTTTAACGTCAAATTGTCAGTCTATATATTAGAAGTCAGACCTAAGCTCAAGGTTAACAACTTTTTAAAATCATTAAACACTATAAATGCATCTAGCCTATGATGGATTAGTTGACAGGTTGGCTGTTAGAATGAGACCATGCGTCTTTCCATCCAACTGCCAGTATCTTACCTCTTCTATTATAAAATCCCACACATTGCATTATATCAAGGTAATGCAACTTTATACATTCAAACTTTAAACTCTTTCTATATTGACTTGATACCCTTCTAGATCAATGATACTTAGTAGCTCACGTCTCTAGCATGTCCCACACCCATTCACGCATACATCGACAGACTTGATCGTTAGAGTGCACGTAGCCGCCTCCCCCTACTCCATAGAAGGCCACGTATGGCTCACAATTTGTCCAAGTGTGCAGCACTAAAGGCTTAGTTGTACGCGAGAGGACCCAGAATCTGTTGGCCACATCATCCATACATTTCTTGAGGTCAACACCATCAACTACTGACTTCTTTATCAATTCGAAGGACTAAAATTCCCCAGAATTCACGCCCAATTATGGCATTTAAATTCATCACAAATAGGGAGAACCTTATAAATATTCATCAAGAAAGAGAATATCTTACAACAAAAAATTATATGAATTCGCTACTGGAATGGAATATTAAGGAAATGCAGTATAAGATTAAGATGTGCTAAATTCATTTAATAAATGGCAAAGGAAAATTGAAATCAAAAGGTCTTCAGAAAAATCTGTCATACAATAGTTTGATCAAAACATGCAGAAACTACACAACCAAAGAGCAGTACATAATAGAATTATTCAAGCTATCAAGCAAACAACAATAAAACCTCAATTTTTAAAATTTCCAATAATTTTAAATTTGACCATATGAATCTTTTTATCTGCAGCTAAATAGAAGGAAAACAGATCAAATTCATCAGACATTCTTGAACCACCAAAAAAAACCCTAAAAGCATCTCAAGAAAACAAATCAAACTTCCAATACCGAAACCTATACAAAAATGAAGCAACAGGTTCTTGAAATAAAGGAAAGAAAAACAGCACCACCAAATTATACCTTCTGCAACTCTCTATAGTCTTGCATGAGAGCCAGATGCTTGAAACTGGAATTAGCATTCTGATACAAACCAACACCATAAAATGGTTTTGAATACGAAGAAATCCCTTTCATCTTCTTAAACATCAGACCCGAAAAAAAGAAAAAGTAATGATCAGTTTAATCAAGAACCAGATGATTTTTGTATGGTGATAGAGATGAATATAATATGAGGTGAAGAAGAATTGAGGAAAGGCTTGTGTGAAGAAAAGTAAGATATAATAGGGAGAAAGAAAGAGATAGAGAGCAATAGAAGGTAGGTTCTTTCTTTGCTTTCCTGTTTTCTCTGCGGAAAAACTCACTGACCAAAACAAAGCCCCAAAAGCCCACAAATTCGGCATAATTAAAGAACATTTCTTGACAAGACAGTGAAATTGACGAAGATGGGGATTTCAGAAGGGCATTTGTGGCAAAAAAAAGTCTGCATTTTTTGTTGGGTGCTTGAGATCCTGATTAACGCTTCTTTCTTGCATTGTTTTCCTCTCTCTCTCTCTCTCTCTCTCTCTCTCTCGCTCTCTCCATGTATATATTTTCATTGTCTTTTGTCATAAATTTTGGTCCAGATGGGGCCATGGGAGAGTGTTGGATGGTGTGGATGGACTCTTTCTTTGTTTTTTACGAAAAAGATGCGTGGAGTTTTCCTCTTTCTTTTCCTTCAGGTGATATAGGCGCATAGCCTATGCATATACCATGTAGACATCGTGATATATAGAGAGAGAAGGCTGAGATTGATGTTGAAGATAAAAGCTGTATATCTATATATACACACACACAGTGTAAAACTATGCTCTGTTTGATCCCATAATTTTTTCAAAACTCGTTTTCAACCCAAAATAATCATTTTTTCAAAATACATTTTCTCAAAAAACAATTAGTTTTCAAACGCCTGGAGCAGAGGAGGGGGGGACACAACCCCCTAGACATGCAGGGGGTTGTTCAACCGATTAAAATGTATGTATAGAGGGGGACTACCGAACCGTGTCCCCATTCTCACATAACACTTGGGCCCCGCGTGTATTAAATAATGTCGAGCCATGGTCCCCATCTTCTATTGTAAGTAGTAGGTAAATAATTAGGTAAAAAAATTCGGTATATGTAGCATGATCCTCACTTGTTCAACAAGCAGTGCCCAGGTAGGAGGAATTATTTGGGGTGGGCGTGGGGGGGCGAGGTGTCCTGCTTTTAGGCTTTGGATTGTTAAGTGTACAATGGATTTTTCATGTGAATCCTGCGTCAACTTATGAATCAGTTCATTAAAATAAGTGAAAGATATAATTAGTCAATAAAAAAAAATTAGTCGGCTCAACCTGCCACACCAAAGAACAAATTCGCAGGGCTATGACTTGATTCATCCCACATGCAAGTTGAATTGAACTAAACGGTAGGTTAGCCGAGTGGTTCGACTTGCTCCACCTTTCACCCCTAGACTTCATTACCGCAACGCTCGAAAACCTCTTCGCCTTCTTCCATTCAATAAGGTAGTGTTTCCTATTGGTATGTAATGACTATTTTGAATATGATTCACTTTTTCATATTCATAGGAAGTTGCACATTAGTCCTCAATTTATAACCAGCTAACAATTTGGCTCTTTTACTTGAAAAAATAAGCAAATTAGTATTCAACTTTTGTACGTGAACAATAATAAGACTATTCAAATATTGTTAAAATGTCACTTGCCTTTATGTGGAAACGTATTTTACTTTAAAATTCTATACATTATACACTAGCATAGTTGAGAAATCAAATCTAAATTCGTTAGTTGAACATGTGGTTCATGTGGCTATTATTGAATAATTGGACATTCTGTAATTGAAAAATTATTGTATAACAATAATGAAAGTTTGAGAACGATTGGCTCACTTTCGAAAGTTGGGATTCGAATTGCTTCCTTTTAAAGATTAAAAACCAGCTAGCTAATCGCACATAAGTTCAGAACTAATAACACAAGCTTTCTTATATTTCATTGGACACTACAATTTTTATTCATTACACCACCTTTTATTGCATTTAATGTCTTCTGTTGGGCTGTGATGCCATTTGATCAGTCCAACTAATAGGCAGTGATGAAAAAGGCCCAATACGAAATCAATAGATGGTCCATTATTAATATACCTAAAAGGCCTACTTAAACCGAGCCCAATATTCAGCCCACGTATCTTAGTCGCTCTTGGACAGTTGGATTAATCCGCTTAATCAACGGTGGATGAGTTTTTCTATAAAGACGACCCTTTACTTTGTTTGGCAGCTGGATCATCATTTTCTGTTCTCTGTTTTTCTCTGCGTCTTCTGGAACCTTCAAAGGCTTCGTCTTTGTGACTCTTTCTTCTTCTCTGTGTGAGATTTTCTGTTGATTATCTTTGTGATAATCGTGTCCTTGTGTTAGTCTCTTTTGTGTGAGTAAACTGTTGGAAGTGGTCTGTCCATTTTCGGTTCCAGTGAAGCGACTTTGTGTTTGGGGTTATGAGGGCTCGTGTTTTTGAGTTGGTGCCTCTGTAATGGTCTAAAAGGGCGTATGGTCTGAGCCTAAATGAAAGATCAAAATCTTGATTCAGTGGTTTAGGTTTTTTCTGTAAATCTGCCGTGTATGATTTGGTTGTATAAATTTTTCAGATCTTGGATTAATATCTTCAATATTTGCTCATTTATAGCTCTTACGTTCTTCAATTATTCTTGTCCACATTCTTATCATCAACATTCCATCATCTAGCGCATCGAAGATACGACATACTCGGAACTAGTCTTGTAAAAAATGAGTCATATGACACACAACTCAAGTTGTAATGGAAGCTTGACAACAATGAAGAATTATATCTTTAACTACAATATGAATTGAATAACCTCTATTCTGGTAACCTCTACCAAGGATAAACTGGTTATGATGATCTTGTACTAGCATTCGAACATTCTTAAAACTATGAAACTGCTGAAGATTTTGGCAAATCTTTGCCGGCCAAGAATGTCTTAAAAAGAATAAAAGCTCTCCTAGGCTGAAACAATGGTACTTCATGTCCTGCTCCTCTAATTGTGGCAAATGTTAGCCCATTATAAACCTCTGTCCACCCTCCAACCTTTTATGTATATAAATCAAGTTAGTTTAGCATCAAGATTTTGTACTAAAGAATGTATAATACGTGACTACCTGACTGGCAGAGTACCAAGGATACCATGGAGTTTTGACTTTGAGATTTAGATGGCTCAAGGAAAATCGAGTTGCGGTAACTGGTACTACTGAATCTGTGTCGCCGCTGCATTAAAATCGAAGAATTTTAATGTTCCCGAAGTACTTATAATGTTGACACACGTGTTAGTAATTGTATAGCAGTACCTGAAAACCCATATTCTAAGCCCAGCAGCAATCAGCTTCTCGTAGGTAGGCAGCATTGAAACCTCGGAGTCTTTCCAGTTCCTTATAAGTACGTCGCTGTCGTATAAAGTGAAAATGTATCGCACATTTGATTTTTCTTTCCTTAAAAAATTTGAATCCCGTCGAATTAATTACCTGCAAGCAGTCCATTTATATGGTACCCCTGTCGTATTTGCGTGCATAGCCTTCTGTACGTCTGGTCGATTATAGTATTTCTCTGCATAATTCTCAGTACATGGGTCGTACCCAGAAAACCTTGGGCGTAATAGAGTGTTCTTAAGCCTCATAGAATGCTTGGTACTATCCTGCATTGCCTTGCAAGATGTTGTGTAGATGCTGTATTGATCAATGTCGCCAAATTCATGATTCATAGCGTAATTTACAGCGTCATCGCATTTCTGGGATGAGTTAACTGACTTGAAATCGCATGATTTGATAATCGAATTGTATGTTCTATCTGATATCATAGAATGGCTCCACCAATATGAAACCGTGCCAATGCTATCATGGTAGTTGTCTGTTACTGCATTTCCTACCTGTGTACATGCTTCGAATATGATTTGATGTATTCTTCAAGTAGTAGCTATATTTACGAGAAAATATGGACATTTTACGAATTTCTGAAAATAACTCACAATGAATCCTTTGTAAGAATGAAAACTTTGATGCACGCATGGGTTAAAATAAATGATGTTGGTCGATGAAAGAAGAACTTTGCTACACAAATAGGGTATTTGACAGGATTTAAAAACATGGGACACATGTATAGCATTCATCGAACAATTAAAAACAGAAAAAGAAAAAGGAGTCACACGGGTGCTGATACACCACCTGTTTTTAAATCTTGTTAACTGCCCTCGTCCGAGTAGCTTAACTGATGAAAGAAGGATGCTAGTTGGTGGTGGTGTATTAAATTTATAAATGTGATGCAGAAAAGGTGTACAGAGGGGTATGATGAATTGAGAATACAGTTAGATGCTGTGTAATAGCACTCTATGTGAGGCCGGTTCACAAGTTTACTCCAAAAATTCATGCAAAAAAGGGCAAACGAAACGGGATTGTACAATATTGTTAAAAGTCGATAAAAACTGATGAATTTCATGAAATGAAATAAATCTACTTGAGTTTATGTTATTAAGAGTCTGCTGAGTCTCAACCACCCAGTAGTTATTACTGTTACTAATAATATTATTTTTTGTGTGTTTGAGTAGTCATCTTCAATTATTAATGCACAAGACAGCCCATATTTTTTTCTTCAAAATTTATAAAAGAATTTAACAAATAAATTGTTTTCATTTAAATTCTTGTTCAGTTTGGTTCAGACATGTAGTTCACATCATCATCACTGTCATGTTCCCCTCTTGATTCTTGAACATGCGTGCATTTATCAAGTTTCTCCCTTTTAATTTATACAAACCCTACCATTTCAAATAATTAATGCATGTTTGTCATTCTTTAAAAATTTAAATTATTTACTACAGTATCATTCTCTACTACACATTCATGCAATAAAATATTTTACACACAATCAATTAAATTTCTTTATTTTTTTAATCACATATTCTCAAAAAAATAATATTCAAAACTCTTTAATTTTTCAAATAATGGGGGACAAACGAGGACTTAATTTTATTTCCATTTTCATTCAATTGCCAAGGACGCATTTGATTATATGCATAAAGAGTGATCACACACTTTAAAATTTTAGATGAGAAGATGAACAATTTTCATTAAATTATAGTTTAGGCATGTCGGCTATCGCACTGGTCAATGTTTCGTAGGTTGTAAGTCAAGATGTATGTCAACTTTTTAGTTCGGAAGGAAGAAAAAAGGTGAGTGCATCGGGATTAATATGCATCTTATGTTTGCTGGAGTTTCTTAAAATCCAAGATTTGCTACAATATACTAGACACAACTAAGGGGCCATTTGAAATGATTTTTAAAAAGTCAAAATCTGTTTCTAGGACTAAAGCTAATTTTTGTAAACATATTATACTCGTACATTAGGTTGTCCAGTCTCATATAGAGGGGGACCTATTTTGAATAAAATATAACTTATCTGGAGTGAGTCTCTCTCCATATGAAAAAGGTAGACACCGTTATAGACATCACATTACATAAAAGTAGCATATTATTTCTGTACACCATGATTTACACTGTCACATGACAAGTTGTGATTTAACGATTTAAAAAATATAGCCCCCGTTTGACCTCCATTCTATCCAAATTTTACTGGTTAGTAATAGTGTTTTTTTGAAAAATATGTGGTTGAAAAAGAATTAAGATTTTTTTTATTTGCGTGTAATATTATTTTATAGAAGATTGTATAATTGAAAACAAGATAGAGAAAAAGAATGAAAAGGAGAATGGGAGTCAAATGGTGGCATAGTTTTTCAATCAATCACTTTTTTACAATAAGGAAGATGTCAACAAAGGTGTAAGCATTGAAATGGACAAATGACCTTATAGGATTTTCTTAGTTGGGTGATGGTCCAGTGTTTTGAAAAAGATATGAATTTTGCTATTTGTACATTCGGATTGACACCATGGATGACACTCTCCTCACAAGAGGAGGGTCCGAAATTATTTTATTATGTGTGGATCCCCCTCCCTTGTGAGGGGAGTGTCAACCCCGAATGTACAAATAGCTTTATTGAAAAGATATATACAGAGGAAGTAAAAAAAAGAGTGATCACGAGAACCCAAATGGGTATTTTCTTCTAAAAACAAAAGCGGAAACCTGACAAATGGGCCTAAAGAACACTAGATAGTAGATACAGAGGATAACTCTCAAGAGTCACAGAAAGTTACTTGACTTCACTAGTTGTGAATATATACAGAAACTTATTCCATTTCCTAAGGAACAGACAGAAACTTTTTCTTAACATTTTGTGTGCACTTGCAAGCTAAAGAATTTCAAGTTCAGAAGTAGAAGCAAAAAGAATATACACACAGACAGAGAGCGATCACGAGAACCAAAATGGATTTTTGTTTTTATCTTTTCTGGTACAAAATACAAACAGCAAGTGTTTAGCTTCTTCTGTGTGCTGAAGATGACACTAGTGCAGATTAGCACAATAGAGTCAAACTATGCTAATGTGCTCCTGTAGTAGATGGGAGGATGTTAAACGTGGAATGCAGCTGGATGCAGTAGGGTTTGGTTTAACA